CCTAAAGACAGCCATTTATGGCAGGTTACAAAACAAAATATTGAAGAACCAAACAATTTATACCCAGAAACTAAAGTAAATCAGATTAAAACAGCCACAACAACAAAAGCAAAAAATGTGAAAATACTAGCAGAAACATTTCCAAGAAACATTTACTCTAAATACAACCACAAACATTAACAATTTAAACCATATCAATAAACTGTTGAAGTTAACAACAGTCCCCGACACCCAGTTAAAATATTATATCACCAAATAAACATACAAAAAACGATCAAACAACTACCTAAGAAAAATCAGCTTGGAATTGACCAAATACCAACCATAATTTTACAAAACTAAATAAAAAGCAATTAGCTATCTAAACTGCAATATTCAATTAATATTAAGAACAGGGGTTACTATCCAAAAATGGAAACACTCTATATAATACCCATTCCAAAACCAAGCAAAAACCCAACACTTACTGAAAACTAGTAGACCTATAAGCCTAATCCCTATTGTAGCCAAAGTAATGGAAAACTAATTTTAAAAAGACTTCTGAAATATATTAATGGAATACAATTACATACCACCTTTCCAATTTGGATTCAAAAGAAAAGCACTCGACAACACATCAACTTTTAAGAATAACAGAATTAATAATAAAAAAAACTTCGAACAAAAAAAGCACACACTTGCAGTATGTTTTTAGAGATGTTTAACCCAAGCATTCGACAGAGTTTGGCACGGAGGTTTAATATTTAAATTACAAGAAATCCGGATTAACCCCTTTACTTGGTAAAAATAATAATAATAAAAAAGCTTCCTAAAAGAAAGAGTTTTTCATAAGAATAAATTCATCTACTCTACACAAAAAGAAATCACAGCTGGGAATACCACAAGGCAGCCCATTATCTGCCAACATTGTTCAATATATTCACAGCAGATTTCCCAACTACTCAAAACACAACCAATAGCATTATTTGCTGATGACAGTGCATACTAATGTCTAACAAGTGTCTAAAAACAGCCACAAAAAATCTTACAGAGGAAGCTAACAAGTAACCACAAATGGCAGACAAATGAAGATAAAACTAAACCCAAATAATGTCTAGCAAAAATATCACACTATGCCCAATAAACACTTAACTCCTGAACCCCTAAACTACTTAACAAACTCTGGAGTGGTTACCAAAAAAGAAACCTATTAAATATTTGGGAATATTAATGGACACCAGACGTAACATGGGACAACATTAAATTGACAAAATCACCCAAGCAATAAGAAGCTTCATAAATTGTTACCCAATTAATTAACAGAAAAACTTGTCTCAAAACAGAATGTACACTAATAGTCCTGTACAGTCAGCAATAATTCTCCCCACATTATAATGTATGCATGCCCAATATGGTACAACACGGATCGGCGATAATATCAAGAAATATTACAAACATTTCAAAATTAACGTTCTAGCGTATAGCTGTTAAAGCCCCCTGGTTCATTAGAAAACAACCAATTACACTCAGATTAAAACAAAACTATTCATCACATACTTCTCAAACGCACACATTCCTTTTTCACATCTTTGCATAATATACCAACAACTGGACCACTTACAACCTTGGTTCATCAGCAACAACATCCCGAATCCAAAAACAGATTTCCATATGAATAAAGATCTAATACAATTTGCTGACCCCCCTTAAAACTTGCAGAATTAGAATAAAAAATGTTAAAGAATAATCAACCAAAGCTTACTGTAAAACATCAAAGCAATAATGAAGGACCTGTTGGGCTTCCCTTATTTCTATTTTCGAAAGAATGATTGTATTTTTTTGATGAATGTGATAATTTGTTTAAACGTGTTGACTGAAAGTATTCTGCTGTCTTATTTATTTGTATACCTGTATTTTAATTGTTATTGTATGAAAAACAATCCCCTGTAAAGCAGTTATGCTGGTCTGTGGAAATAAATAAATAAATAAACAAAAAAAAATATTTTTTTCTTAATGAAATCTCTTCTTCAAAAGTAGATTTTAAAATAATGTAAATCATCATACTTGAGTGTTTAAAAATTGAAAATACAGGTGTTCAACGTTTTTATGCGTCGGAAAGCTAGGGTGACGCTGATGGAGTTGGTGTAATGTTAGACGTGTCGAAGGATATGAGTTTGAATCATGCGCGAAAAAAATGCTGGTTGGAAACATTGAAAATGTTCATGTGGATTGCGTGGCCGAGACAAATAATGAGCGAAAATATATGTTATTGACGTGTGTCTTGTTTGATATCTGGGCCTCACAACTGTTAAGCCCTACAATTATTTCTGTCAAAAATCGCTGTTTTTGTCGCATCGTTACATTACTTTCTTTATCTGTGTAAGTTGAATGCAAGAGAGTATCATAAGTGAATTTTATTTCTTTTTTATGTCTTCTGAAAGATTTATAAAACATGTACCTTATCATGTTTGGCATTCAACTTGAAATGATTTCCTCCGCTCATCAAACTTTGTATAGATATGGTAGTCGTCTTAGTTCCATTTATCACGTCTGGAAGAAATGCCCACAGAACACTTAAGACCTTGACTGCGTTTGTTTGCTAATGTAAACGTTAAACCTAGGCCATCAAGATCTATAACTCTGCAATAAGCTATACATCGTTATCTCCCACTTGTGTTATCGCTATTTGACTGTAAACAAAGCTCGCATGATTGTTCGATGAAACGCTCACTTTCGTACGTATGCAAGTTTGTCAACTAAATTATATCGACTTATCTGGGCGTCACATGACTATATTGTGAGGCCGGGAAACTGTAAAACAGCTAAGGGGAAATGAAGATTCAGTAAAGGAAGTTTTGCACATTATTTCCACCTCAATTCGTTTGCTCGAGTCTGGTGAAGGCCATATTTTTCTTGCAGTTTGAGGTTAGAAAAGGCATTCATTGTAGGCATCCAAATATGTCCTCGACGACTACTAGATATTTAGGTAATTGATAGTGAACGGGTAGGTAACATGGAATTCACAAATACTCAGCATCAATAAATACGTATATTCTATTGGAAATTATCACCATTAGGGAACAACGTGGTACATTTACATGACACACAATTTCCGAACATTTGAACATTAACCATTCTTTGGACAAACAGTGTTTTCTCCATTTTAAGTCACTTATGCAAAAATCAGAAGAAACTAGTAGGGCTAAAACAGCACGTTCTTTCTCGCCTTTAGTAATGGTTATGTAGTACTATTATACCACAATGTCTCTCCGAATTAACACATCTCATTCATAATTTTGGTAAAACTCTTTACATATGTGAAACATTTAGTGCGAAAATTAAATATTTTCAAGCAAATATCAACACAAATTTGACAACGATAACTTTTTTTCGTGTAGCAAAACCACGTCCCAACTATGAAATGGAATTTTCAGAAATTTATATGCCGAGTAGCGACGGGGAACGCTATTGTTGCATCTGATATTCCCTGCAGACTAGCAATTTTTATTTCATATATTTCAAATATATTTTACTAAAATTACTAAAAGAGGAATTACTAAAAGATTAATATGTAAATATATAACAAAAGCTCGAATGTAAGAAACGAACAAAAAATATCAAATAATATTCACATTCTAACTTACGTAGCATCCAACTGTCTCTAAACACCTCTAATCAAAACGAATCAATTTTTTGAAAATATTGAGAATGTTATCAAAACGAATCAATTTTTTTAAAATATTGAGAATGTTCCAGAAGCTTCATGTAAAGTACCTACAAAACTTAAATATGGGTTTTATATTCAAGGTGCCGCGACATCAAGATGGATGGGGGAATATCAATTTTGGAGAAAATCGGCTGAGCAGTTTTGCTGCCTGCTACAGACGGACAATCAGAAAAGATTCAATTGGCCCTATTCTGAACAAGATTTAAGGGCTTATAAGAATAAATGCGCCGATGACGTGGTAGCCGCCTGGGAGAAGCGGGATCCCAAAGGAGAGCGGTTAGGGCGCATATAAACGATACGATTGGTAATGCCTTTTTAAAAGATTATCATCTTCTGAAACCTGGTCTTTTAATCACTGCACTCCAATTGAGATCAAATACCGCTGCCAATAAAACTACTCTTAGTAGAGGAAGGCCCAGATAGGATATTTTCTGCAAAAAGAGCAAAACAGCGGTAGAAACCATGAATCACATCCTCGGTCAGAGCAATTTCACCAAGCCAGCAAGAATAATGCGTCATGACGATATCAAAAATTTCATAGAAGGGAAGATGCTCCAGAAATCGGACACGGTAGTGTCCACGAAAGCCACTTTCTCCGTTGCCGAAGGGGTTAGACTCAAACTTGATCTGGTATAAAAAGCCGGGAAGGGGTCCACGTGGTCAATGTGACTGTCCGCCACGAGAATGGGTCTAGCCTTCTGAAAGCAGGGTAGGAAAATGTGGTAAAATACCAACCAGTCATCTTCCTGGCAGCCCAACTTCATGGAGTACCCAATGCCAGCATCCTGCCAGTGGTGGTTGGAACCTCTGGGGCTATGCCAAAATTTAGTCAGTGCCCTCAAGACCCTGGGGATCACGTCTAGAGGCAAACTACTGACTATCTCGATAATTGTTCGCAGAAGCTCTATTAAAATTTACACACAATTTGTAATTAACGATGGAGCAATTTAGCATTGCTGGTAGTAAATGCAAGAAAGAAACTTCAATGTCCTGTGAGGAAGTCTAGGGAACCCATTGGATCCTAAAATGCCTAGGAATTAACCAGTTATCACGACTTTTAAGTGGGAAGTGTGTGCTATTTAATGTAGCATATAGAAAATTGTATGTACAAATGCTATGTATTAAAATAAAAATGAACAAACCCATGAAAGGCAGAACTGCCGAGCAGGAAGAATTTTTTTTGAAACTTGTTTTATTATTTCAGGTTACCCATGAAGGAGGATCCTTAACAGGGGCCCCGGGGCGATGCAACGAGGTACCACCATAGCTACTTTCCTGCTCCTCAGAATGAACGATGGGTACCAAATAATTGTATAATAATTTTGGAAGAAAAAAGCAATTATTGACAGTAAATCTCACAATTATTTTAAGAAAGCACAATTTTTATACAGAAATTAAGACGTATATCACATATATTTCACTGTCAAACAGTTTTTTTCTTTTTTACTCATGCATACAACAATGAAATAAATTTGAAATCTGATGACTTGTCTACAAAAATTCTGCTGTCTTAAAGCAATCTAAACGGTGCCTTGATTATACCGATATGTCGCCGGTTTCATTGATTAATTGATTATTAGTGATTCCAGACGCATCAACTACTGAAGACATTAATTCCGTAAGTATAGGACATGTTTTTGCTCAGGAGATGGGGGTGATCTTTGTCGAGATCCGGCGCCGACCTACCTTTGGCTAGTGGGGTTTTCTTCATTCAGATATCGCTCACTAGAGGGGCACCGCACCAGCTGGGACAAATTCTGAACTTCCGCCTCGCCTCCAGGCATGTGTGGTAGTGCACGCAAGTGTTAGTGTGCGTAAGTAAGGGGGGTAGTAGGACTAGGAAAGGGGATGGAAAGAGCGCGCGGAGAGCGTGACACGGTTGTTAGTGTACTGCTTCGGTATTCGCCTGGATATGTCGCCGGTTTATATTCGTCCAACCAAGCAACTGATCATCATGGACCTTCTTCAAAATTTCATCCATTCTGAGGTGGTCGATACGGACCACGTTGGCAAACCTGCTGTAAGATGTAGGATAGGCTACTTTTTACGAAATCATAGTCAGAAAGTATATTTTGTTTTATTTTGGTGGTCACTTCTTTAATGATGCATCATGGTCGGAATAAAACTTGTTTTGTAAGACAAAATAAACAACCAAAGGTCCTTTATAGAGAAGAAAATAATGATTTCATGAAATTTAGCTCTACAAATCATTCTATGTTTCAATAAAAACTGCATCCCGAGTACGAAGGTTGCGACCTTCGACGAATGCTTGTAAGCACTTCGTGTAAGCACTTGTTTCAAGTGGGCTCGATCAAATCATTTTATCAGCACCAAATCAACTCCGAATCTATAAGAGAGCCCTTGACCAAATAACGATGCTCAAATCAGTTGTGAGACGGGTTGAAATGTATCGGGCTTTGATTTTCGTTGCGGTTGTGGCCTTTGCAACGGCCACCCCAACACTTCGATCTGAAGACAACGAAGAGCTTCGATTCGATGACAACTTTCTCTTTGGAGTTGCCTCGGCTGCCTACCAGATTGAAGGCGCCTGGAATGAAGACGGTTAGTAGACTGAGCAGTAGTATGATGATATTTCATCAAAATATTAATAATTAGTAGTGTTTTAGGATGGCGCGACTTTTCGACGTTCTCTTACTATTTATTTTGGAAATATTTTTAGTCTGGGCTCATTTTTCTATTTTACCTCACCCTCTTCCTATCTGTAATCGCTTGCCACCTAAATGATATTTTATTTACATTTTCTCAGTTTTTCTGCCCTTTAATGATGTAATTGAAATACGATATTTAGTATATTAAAGAAATGTAAAACCTGGTTTTTTATCTACTTTTTTGTTGAAAATTCGGAGCTTGTTTTCAAAGACAACTTTTGCTCTTCTTCTCAACTTTTGCTTTTCCAGAAACTATATTGGAAATCATTTAATGCACCTCTACTAACAAATGTAATAATGTCCCCAATTTAAAAATGTAAAAAATTCCCCCAATGTAAATATTAAGGACGTGAGTGCTGTATAAAAGATTACAGTTGGGTATTTTTTGAAAGAATACATCAAAGCTGCATTGATGTCATGTTATTCAGTTGATGTACCGTCATTTTAGACATTTTGTGAGATTTTTATTAAGTTTATAAGACATTATATAAAGCACTTGTATTCAAAAATAGAATAATGAATCGATTTGGCCACTAATATAATATCCAAGACGTGATAGAGATATAAAAAAATTATATAATTTTGAAAAAACGGCAAAATAATGCATTTGGTTTTCTACTTTCAGTGCACTTGGTATTGTCGGTAGAAAACGAGTAAAAAGAATTTTAATAGATTTTGATAAAAAATTGTTTTAATCCCATTACTATCCCATATTCTACTCAAAATTCTACGAAAACTACAAAAATTATCAAAAAAATAAATGACGTTGATTGATTATTGAGAAAAAAATATTTGAAGAAAATATATCTATATTCAATATTGTAGTTGTACTAAGATGTTCAAAATATTCCAAACTTTTGTAATTATCGAAAATTCAGAGATAACAGTTAAAAGCATACCTATGTCTTCGTAAGTGTGTGTTCACTGTATTCTTACATGAAATTTAAAGAAAAAACAATTGGTCATACATAATGGCACAGAATTTCCCGTATTACTCGTACTTATCTATTTCCTTTGGTCTCTGAAGTTGAACTTTCTTCATATTAGGAGTTTAAGTTGAACTTTACGTCATAATAACACTCGTGAACACAAGTAGTACTATCCGTTCGAGAAGTTTGAAGAAAACATTTTTCAAAATATGGCGTTCGAGCGTTTCTAAAAATTCGGAATTTTGAGCTAGTTTTCACAGAAAAAGGTTGAGTTTTGAAAAAAACGTGATATGACATTATTTAAAGCGCATGTACTTGTAAATATAATAATGTAAAGAAATTACAGCTAATACAAATATTAAATGACGTGAGAAAAGTAAAAAAAGACATATTTTGTTTTGTTTCTTTACATTTTCAAAAGTATTTTTCTTAAATTTGGAGCCGTTAGTGAGAAAAATTTTAAAATGTCCGGGTGCCCTCATTTAATGTACCCCCAAACTTCGAAGAATTTTTTTCAAAAACGCAGCACCTGAAATCGAGACAGATCGACCAAGGAATATCAATTTTAGGAAAAATATCCTGCTGGGGAATATCCATTTTGAAAAAAGTCCATGATTTAGGTGCTAGACACACGGACGGACGTTTTGAAAAAAATACTTCTTCGGTGTCAGGGGAGCGCAAAGTGGCCGTTGAAATCTCGAAATCAATTTTCTGCAGTATTACATCACTCCCTATAATGCGTATATTACTCCGTATACACCTACGTATACGGGAGACTAAGAAGAAGCCATTTCTGAGGCAATGCTGGAAATATCCAGCTGGTTTTAACTACAGTAACTCAAAATTTAAAGAATGTTTTGCCAAATCGCAGCTATTTAAGCTGAGGCATATCGAACGAGGAATGATCTTTTCGGAAAAATCCTACGAATAGTTTATGCGCTAGTGCTGTTTGTAATAAATACGAACAAAGAACAAGTTTTATCCATTTTTCCATTACGAAGGGCCGGCAATTCGAGTTTTTCTGCCGGAATTTCGCTTTTTTCTGGAGCAAGAACAATGCTTTCTCTTGGTACGAAGTAAGAGTAAGAAAGTCAAAAGTTGCTGTTTCATAACTCAGTCTGTTAGAAACAAATATTTAATACCAGGGGCTTCTTCCTTGGAGCATTGATGTTACAAGTCAGATGTATTGTAAGCAATGACGTATTGAGTATGAGAATAGAACTGGTATGTGTAATAGGGGAATAGGCATAATAACAGAATCAACTATTTTCATTTTTCAGTCCAAATCGATTCTATTGAATTATTTTTGTATTTTTCCTGCGTTCCTACATAACTAGCAAATTCATAGACACCTCTTAGATGGCCGGCGGTTGAATACTTTTTATTTCCATTTAGGCGCACATTGGAATTTACGAATACAGGTATTTTTACCTTTATTTTATCAGTTTTGGTTTTTGAATATTGAAGGGAGCACTATTCATGAAAATATTTTGATGAAACAACTATATCCTTCCCTATAAATAAAGCACAGAGGAAACATTTTTTTAGATCTCAACCTAGAATAAACCTAGTGAAGAAAATATCTCTGCCTTTTTTTAAATGACCAATTTTGATATTATTGGAAAAAAATGTAACATTTTATTAATTATTACAAAAAAAATACGGAAATAAGAGTAATAAAACAAATAATTAGCGAAAGCTTGCTTGGCAAGGACTAGCGATACATGGGTTGGTAATCACACGATCCAGTTATTTATTTACATTTATTTATTAAACGCCAAAAATTTGAAAACTGTTTGTGTTAAGCGAATTCGATTTACGTTTTCTTAAATACTGGGGTATCTATCCGAACCCCTACCCAAGTTGAATTATGAAAACAGCTGGAAATGAACGTTGTTCGGCAAGAAACTATAAGAACATATTCTCTCCCGTGTAATAAAATCTATTTGCAAAGGCAAATCATTCTTACTATTATCATCAAGCATTTTGACTATTCAAACCGTTCGTAAATGAATCAACTTACTGCCGTGAAAGCACGGTGAATGCTTTGCTGTAATACTTACTGTCACATAACATTGTCATTTCGGTAACCGGAGTACATCGAGAAGGAGACGGGGGAGCAACGGCGGATTATTTTTCTAGAGCTTTTATTCAGCCGAGAGCCTATTACCCTTTACGTCCCGATGGGACGCATATTCGAGCACACACGACACCAACACACTTGCGGGCTCCTCAGAACTGGGGTCAGAAAAACACGAGGCTCTCTGCGACAGCACATTTATGACAGACAAGGGACGAACAATCATGCCCTAGGCGGGACTCGAAACTGCGACCCCTCGAAGTGTCTGTACACGCTCTTTGCCACTTCGGCCGTCCCGGTCGGCGAAGTCCAGTATATATAGCAATATAGCAAGAGGGAAATTGTATATATTTAAGAACTAATGATAAGTATTTGCAATACATTCTTTTCTAAGCGTTTGCATAAAAATACTTTTAGTTTTTGACTTACGACCCTTTTGTGAACTTTCCGTACGGACACAGATGGAAACGACCTTTTTTGAAAAACTGGTTCACCATTCAATATGTTGCTCCGATAGTATTTCTGTATTCTACACCGACATAATCTGAAATAAGATTTCAACGTGAATATAAGCAGGCAAATACTCCGATTAAAACATAGGGTTCATTGAAGGTCACGAAAAGAAGACTTTGACATTCAATCGGGAGCTTCAATACTAAAGATGCTATTCGTAACGAAGCTCCCATGTAGATGACTATGTGGCCTTCCAACTCCAACCTTATAAGTACGCTATGTTTTAATCAGAGTATAAAGTTCAGAAAGGTTTTATTAAAAAAAGTTCTAAAAGATGAGACAGTGACTTCTTATTAAAAGTATTGCAAATAATTACTCTTAAGGTCCATTGTTAACTCGTCATTGGTATGCGACTGTTAAACTGTGGTATAGTATATTTTTGAAAGTAGAAAATCGCGGAATATACTAGGGAGTGTAGTTCATTTAATACCATATGTTCTCATCAAGAAGGACAGATGGGGCATAAAGTTTTCCTCAGATAGCATAAAAAGCACAGTTCAAATACAGTTTATGATTTTGGATATTGTTATAACTAATTTGAATACTATTTTCAGGAAAGGGAGAAAGCATTTGGGACCACATGCTGCATGAACATCCTGAATACACAGAAGACCGACAAAATGGTGACGTGGCAGCAGATTCATACCATCGCTATAAAGACGACGTGAAAATTGTTAAAGAGATGAACATGGACTTCTATCGATTTTCGATTTCATGGCCTCGAATCCTTCCCAATGGTGACCTGAGCCTCATTAATGCGAAGGGTATCGAGTATTACAACAACCTTATTGATGAGCTGCTGGCAAATGGAATCGAGCCCATGGTCACAATGTTCCATTGGGATCTGCCGTATGCTCTTCAGGAACTCGGAGGCTGGGCCAATCGTCACATTGCCACGTACTTCAGGGACTACGCCGATCTGTTATTCAAGACGTACGGAAATAAGGTAAGTCTTCGTGTTACCATGCGCCCTCTTTTCCCCGGACATGTCTTCTTTTATAAGTAAGAGAAAACTGTCTTTGTGAAGTTTACAAGAAAGGACTGTTTTTTATTGGCAAGGTATTATTTTTAAATGCAACCTAGATAATGAAGGATTAGATTGTGAAGATTACGAAGGATTCTGCGTTTTTTTAGTCTTTCGAGTTTTTTTATTTTTGTCTAAGTCGTGATTTTTAACAAATCTTAATGGAAAAAGCGGGACAAAATAATAAAACAGTAATAAGTAATATTTTAATAGCAAGCATCAAAACACATTTATACGGAGTTCAATCACAATCAACGTAATCAATAGGTTATCAAATTTCAATAAGTGTTTTTGTAATCAAAAGACTATCTGGCATTCGAAATAGCGTTTTAATGTTTTTGCATGTTAAGAATTCTAGATCTTATCAGGGTCAGGAATGTGAGTGTGTGAAGTGAATGTGAGTGGTGAGTAATGTGAGTGTGTGAGTGAATGTGAGTTGTGATGAATGTGAGTTGTGTGAGTGAATGTGATGTGTGTGAGTGAATGTGAGTGTGGTGAGTGAAATGTGGAGTGTGTGAGTGAATTGGAGTGTTGAGTGTGAGTGTGAGTGTGGGAGGTGAGTGAATGTGAGTGTGAGTGAGTGTTGTGATGGAGATCACACTGGTCATTTGGACTCGGAGCCACGGGAGCGCTTGCCTGTGCCGGCGATGGCTCACGGTTACGAAAGTTTTGGCGGAGACTTCTTGTAAGAGTTCACCTACCACACCACCACAGGTACCCGGCAGCGTAAAGCGACCCTGACAGTTCGATGCGCTGTTGCCACACAATTTCTACGCTCATGGCACCAAACCACATGACCAAATAAATCAATCTGTAAAAAACATTAACACTACTGACAAGCGACGATTCGTCTGATTATCATGTTTCATAACCTTCCCCACAGCAGGAACCTACCTTAACCATGTGAGTCGAATAAGCGGCAACGCTGACCGCTGGATGTGTAGAACGTAAACAAAATCCCCAAGCTGATTGCTTTCGGAGCAGGTCACATGGCGTACCACAGCAAATGGCGAGTCAACTGTTCAGAGTCGCTTATACGCTGCGAACACTGTAGTTAGAATTTTCAGTTGATTATTACCAGGCATATTTTGCTCCTGCGATTATATGCAGTTTCAGTGTTTGTTCGAGTACGAATACGAATTATTCGAATATATTTCTAAACATCTGCAAGCAAATTTCAAATTTGTTAACAGAATATCTGGTTGCAGTCGCTATCATGAATGCATTCCTGAAATGTTGACAGAAAATTTTAGCATGTTATTGGACCTTATAAGGTGTTGTGGTGTATATCTTGGGCATTTTTCATAAAAAGTATGAAAGACGTTGTCATTGCAAACAAATTATTTAAATGAAATAGCAGCTTCGATGGCTTAGCCATCATCATCAGTTGTCTGCCTAGAGTGGGAAGTCGTTTGTGCTTTCCCATCTAAGCAGACAACTGATGATGATGGCTAAGCCATCGAAAGCTGGCTGTTGCATTAAATAAGATTGTTGGAAATGACAACGTCTTTAATTATTTTATTGGACCCTTTCCACTGCACGCATTGGGGATATTTCTGCTGAAATGTATAAGCTAATGGTGATAGACGAATTAAAATCTGATGTCACTTCGAAGAATTACGGACGATTGCTGTTATTTGTTTTTTAAGTGTTAACAACTTCTTCTTTCAATTAATGTAACATTGGAATAACTAACTTGCATCTTCTAATGTTAAGAAAGTTTTCGCGTTTAGAAGATAAATACCACGATGACTTTACCCAGAATTGAAAGTGCACGTTCCAGCCGCATTTCTTGTCAATTTTCTGTCTTTGGAGTGTACCAGAAGCTGTTCAAATTTTATGCCTACTTCCACCTGGAAAGAGAAATATTCAAAGAATTGAGAGATAGAATTTCTAATACTAAGACCAGCCCATTTATTTTTACTATTGGGCCACACGATACAAACATACATAGCTGAATAAAAATATTTTGCAAAAATGCATAAAATCGGCGATTTTTCACAGAAGAACTTGTATTGTGAGCGGTGCCTGTGGTGCAAATTACCTTCCTCTAAACACGTTGTGCATTAGAATCTACATTTTGGCTGACTTTCTACTGAAAAAACTCGTTTGTCAAAACGTTTCAGTTTCTCTGCGGATCAAACCCCTAGCGCCTAGACGATTTTCTCCAAAGCGATTTTCTCCTGTTCAATATGGCCGACCTCAAGCCCTGCCAAAGTTTTACAACGAATATTTTTGTTTCCTGAAGCTTCTTTACATGAAGTCTCAAATGTTTCAGATGTTTATGAAACTCGATTCAATTATTATCAAAACTAATCCTTGGGGATGAAAACGGGATATCTGAAAAACTAGAGCACGTCTCACTTTTTGTGAACAGTAAACTTTTTAAAAAAAAAAAATTTTTTTTGCTTCTACAAATACAATATTTGAAGACAATTATTTATTTTGGATGAAATAATTTTCTTCAAAGTTACATCTTTAAAAACTTAAACCTGCGAGCCATAACGTTTTTGAAAATTAAAGCTATGTACATCAATATTAATTATAATAATACTTATAATGCGGAGTGGAATTTCTTTGATTTGCATATTTTCTCCGTTGGTTAGAGCATAGCAATGTGAAATTAGGGTTGATTCGACGGAGCGGTGAGTTGAAGAAGCTTTAGGCGAACATCCACCATTAAATTTTCAAAAATGTTAAAGAACTTAAGAGAAAGCCAAAAGGTTGGACCCTTTACAGGTAAATTAGTAGACGTATCACTCTTGCATGCAAAAAGTTTTGGTCTTTCATCCCTACAGCCATCAAAAAACTCACATAAAGCAGAATAAGAGTATAAGGTAAAAACAGGAAAAGCAGGATGTATTAGAATCTTGCATTTATCTGACATTCGGTCCTATGAAGTCAGACATACTTGCTAACAGCAAACACAAAAGCTTCAATTATCTAGCGTGCCCAGAGAAAATGGAGATAAAATATTCTTAATATATCTCTTAAAGACCCACGTTACATGTATGGAAACAAGAAGTAGAAAACAAAAATAATAAGTTGTAATAGAACAACCTTGACTCAAAAATAGTAATGGGGAAGTCACGTATAAAACATTGATAAACACTTGGACCGTATGGTTCAACGTATGGAATCAAGAATCGGATGCATAATCGCGGATGACAAAGGAAAATTGAGGGAGGACAAACAGTAAGAGTCAATGCGCCCAGAAATTAGTTGAGTATGGCTGCATGGAGTGTCATGCGAGGTCGCCTTTAAAGAGCTGAATCGTTGGAAATGAAGAAGTGAAACCACGTGAAGTGGTGTGGAAACAATATCAAATTAAAAGACATTTGTGTTAACAGGTCAAATTACACAACAATGGTTTAAGTTAGTAGTAATCTATCAACAGCTTAATTGTTGTAGAATCCATTCGCCATAGTTGTACTCAACCAAAACTGCACGGACACATAAATTGTTCAGACACGTCCCTGAAAAAACCAGGAGGCTCCTAGTCCTTAAGGATTGTAACGGCTCATAATAATAATGTTAAGTGTTAGGTAATAATAATAATAATAATAAAATAAATAATAATAATAATAATATAATAATAATATAATATGTGGACATTTCTGACATTTGGTTGAGAGGTTCTATTTGAAGACCAAACAGTGTTTAATGAATATTTTTGTATATTGAGACATCTTTCCCTTTTGGCACATTATGAGTGTGATTGTAGCGTACATAATTTGCATATTTCGTTAAAATAGATACTTATCTCTATAACGTTTTCATTTTTCTCCATAGAATTCATCATTCATATTATTGTGAGCGTTCATTTGAGCGTTTGACTGAGCTCTGTCTCAGTTTTCTTGTTTTCTTTTCCGTAAAATATAAAACTCTTGTGCAAAATGTAGGTTATTTATTGGTATCAAATTATTTAAAAAACCAGGCAGAAGAATGCAACAAAACATACTTCACTAAAATGAAATATTTTCTTACAATTATTTCTCCCTTGAAGTGGACGTTAGCAGCATAAAATTAACTTTGTCATACAAGCATGCTTCTCCTTAATTTTATCAAGAAGATTTATTTAGTAAAATTAAATATTGGTTTAGTTTTTATTGCATATTTCAGATTTTAAGCCTAAAAGGCATATTTTAATAGGATATTTCAAGATTATTTTTAAGGCAGAAAATCCTTTCACTGCTTGTAATAATAAGTTACGTGAATCATTATATGTATTATTTACCTTTCTGCTTCGCGCGGTAGTTTCTTCGTACAGAATGGTAGGCGGGGCGTGAGCAGTAGGAGCTGTGTGTCCACACAAGTTACTCTCCGCGACACCCGGGTGCTCGACGCCGGGCGCTAGGAAGTGAGTTCGCCAGAGTAGCCACGGCAGAAACGCTTGCGGCTCGTTTAGTGTGATCACCATTTGACCTGTTTGAGGTTGAAAAAAAAATTTAATCTATTAAGAACTCATTGGTGTTCTTTTTTGCAATATTGCCCAACACTAACTCAGAAACTGTTTGACGAGAAAGCTATCAGTAAAACCATACATCTTAGTTAATTTTGCAATACTCGAAAATATCTAGTTCCATGTTAAATAGTATGTTTTTTCTATTATAGTGAAATATTAGTCCAGAAAACCCCGCGTTGATATTGTCATACTTGGAGGTCCTATGAAGTACTTCACATTATAGTGAAACGCAGATTCGATGATATTTTGATTTGTCATTTATTGGCTACCAATATATCATAAAAATAAGTATTTACTTTCATTAGGCATCATTAATGATTACTAAAAACATTTA